ATATCCCCTCTTTGAGAGCTGACATTCCTCTAGCTGTGATACTAACGATCTTTCCAATTCCATGCGAATCTCATACTTTTGTATTGGAGTCTCAATAGTTTCAAGCTGTTATTGTTTGATAACTGCTGTTTAACGCCGCAGTACGCGATTCGAAAGCTATCACAAGAATGCTGAGTTATGGGCAAAAGTCGGACCACGGTCCGACTTTTGCCCATAACTCAGCATTCTTGTGATAGCTTTCGAATCGCGTACTGCGGCGTTAAACAGCAGTTATCAAACAATAACAGTTTACTGAGAGAAGCACTGAGCGTCGGAACGCATCCCTCAAGACCACAACAGTATTCCGTACACCAATTGAACAATGAAGAAGATTGCGAACGAAATTGTCGCTGGTAGCATTTGTGGGATAATGGAATAAAAATGAATAGAGACCTAACTAAGACGTGTCTGAATACGAAGGACCTATTAAGAACTGTGAATTCGCACACAAATCGTAACAGTTATGAGCACCTAGCACCATGCATTTATCGTCAACTAGTCACTAATGGAGCGAAGCACCACACATAAATAGAGCCCATGAGTCATGATTGTTCCGGTTAGGTCTCCTTTTTTTACTTTTCCTTCGAGACAAACTGTACCTTCACCCTTCGTGGATCTCGGTCCCTGCCACGTGTGAGTTGAACGGGTCCGCAGCTGCAGTAGCATGCTACTTTCTCCACTAAAAGTGCACCGGAACGTGGCTGGACGGTAGTGATACACGAGTACCGTCTTCATACTCCGCGCGCGCTGCATCACGCCCATTTGCACGCCTGACCATGGACAAACGGCTATCGTCTGCGTTCTCTCACTTCTGCTGGTCTTTACCATTTACTGCGTATTTGCAACTGGACCTAGTGTTGACGCAAGTGCTGCCCTCTGGGGATAGCGCCGGCGGAGTCCTTCAACCCCGTTTCCGTGCACCTTTGAGAGGAGAACGTGGCATGCAACTGCAGCCGCGAACCCATCCACCTAGTATACGGTAAGGATAGTACGTGAGTGTGAAGCGCGTCTTTGATCATCCTACAGTTTGTATCACCGTCGGGTAGCAATCAGCAGTTCCCACCTGCGGCCTTCCTACCAGTGGTTGATTCCTTCCTACATCGATCATTGCTCGATCACCATTGG